ATATATATATATATATATATTTATATTTATATTTATATTTAAAAAAAAGCAAATATAGAATATCAGACACTAATAAGTGAGAAAATGAAAAACTTCAGCGGCTTCTTTATATAAATGGCATACTCTGGTTTTCTCACAAAATTAAAAAAATTAAAAACTAGTTACAACCTCTGATTGCAGAGCATTGGTTTGGCTCCAAAACGTCGATCAAAACAAAAGGGTTTTATCTAGTCTTCAACAAAATGCTTAATGTCTCCTCACCAAATTAAAAAAAATAATAATAATAATAAGAATACTTTAATGTTGTGATTTACCTTTCAAGGAATGCAACATGCCTTAAAGACATAATAAAAGCATGTTTACTTGACTAGTTATAATAACGTGTTGATGCCAATGGAGTAGAAAATGCATCCATGTGAGACAAACATGCAACTCTAAAGGAAAAGTCACAACCTGCTTCGAAGTTGCTTCTGCTGATCCCATTGAGTTCTCAATTCTTTGTTTCTGGAAATGTTCCTGAATGCACAAATTATGACATTACGAGCTTTTTCCATAACAATTTCTAATATTTGACTAGATAATATGAGAGATTGGCAGATCCAATACGGTATGACGTATTGAAGACATGTTGAAAATGAGAATTCAATTAAAGGTTAAGTAGTCTAAGGAACTTTGGCATAACAAGTCATCAAAATAGTTGTAAAAAATTTTAAATATGCATGTCATTAGTAGACGCATGACATGGAGGAGGAAACTTAACAAGATTTATTTAGTAGTTGTTTAGTTTGTTGTGAAGAGGGTTTTGCATTGCAGATTCAACGGTTAAAAATTTTAGGTGCTTGGTTTGAGGAAAAGAAAGTCTAAAATTATAATTAATTTTAAATACAGCATTTAATTTGTATTCAATGTATTTCTGATTCCATTTCAAAAATTGTGGTAGATACAGATACAACATTGACTACTGCAACAGCTAAAGCCAATGCCATTGCCGGCCCCACACACACGGCACAACTGCCGGTTGTTGACCACCACCACCGATTGCTAGCTGCTGCAGCCCACCTGCCCACAACGGCTGCTAGCCAATATTGGCGCATGTCGACCAAGGATTTTAAATGACATTTTTAGTGTACTCACCCAAACATATTATAAATTCATTCTCAAGTGGTGTATATATCCGAACAACAATATTTAATTTTCAATACACTATTAACTTTTCACTACATTTCTTTTATTTTACATAGAATTCCTTTTTCGGAAAAACAAATAGCGCCTCTGTAAACTAGAAAATATTTGTCCATCATTGCATGTCTACAATGCAGTACAGCAGTTTGTAGCAGTAACTGAAACATATTTGGATGTGTAATGGAGGCTAAAATAACATGGATTGCTTTTTAGTTCCTAAATTTTGTATATATCCTACTAAAATTGCTCTTAGAATTGTATAAATTATGCACCAATGATTAAATAAAAACTTGACAAATTCTATTAAATTCTTGTCAATTATGATATGACATTTAAAATCAAAAGCTCCTACAAACCAAACAAATGCTTAGAAGGATTTAATCTAGAAAAAAAAACAAATATACATTAATAAGCATGAATGCTTGAATATACATATTAATAGACAGGGCAACCTTATCGTAATAGTTAAGAAGTTAATATATCCTGCACTTATGAATTTAACTTTTCTGCCATAAACAATAGTGCATGAAAGAGTTATGCTCATGAAGAATATATGGTCCAGTGGTTAACTATGCTTATGTCTTCTATATACAATAGCAAACATAAGAGTTATGCCCCATTGTGTACACCGAAAGATGTATTAGGATTATGAAAAGTTACAGGTACAAGAACTCTCGAGATGGAATGTATGGTTAATTAAAGGCAAGATATGACAGTCTACACTATCACCCGTGATGACGCTACTTAAATATCAAGATCATGATACAATATTTGCATGAGATGACAATGTCATGCAAAATGTATGACTACTTCATAGGTATGTTTATACAGGATAAATTGATCTTTATAATTTTAAAAAAGGAATATATAAATAAATAAAGTGACCTTGATACATTATTATAGATGCCAAATTGAAGGAGAAGATTCTAAAAAGTTAAAAAAAAAGATGAAAAATAATTCATCGCATATTAAGGTGGGTACATTTCTTTCTAAATTACCGTGTTAATTTTGCTTTCACTAAATTAAGTGCATTAATTGATATTGACATAAGCACTTAGTACACATTTATTTCTGATTTATCTATACTATTTTAATTATTCAGCATAGTAAAATAAATACTATGAAACTAGTATGAAACTTAAATTATGTATATCATTCAATTTTTATTATTTTTCTTCAAGACCCCAGCATCTGTTTGGGGCAATTGTAGTTTAATAATAAACTGCGGTGTAGCAGCCACAGGAAGTTACTGCGCATAAGCTCTTGCGGATAAAATGATTATCTGTTTGTTTTTTGCAGTTTGAAAATAGTTGTGCTGCAGCTGTTTCTGGACAAATGATCAGTCTGTCTCTGTATAGTAATGTTATTTGCAACAAAACACCACATACTTGAGAACACATATTCAGTGTAGAGCATTATAAAACAAAAATAAACACCCCACTAAATAGTGGGTAGCATGACTACCAAAATTAAGAAAGTTACTATTAAAATAACAATTAATAATATGATAACATTATTTTTAAAATGTAAAGAGCGTATGTCACGAGATAAGCTGTCCTCCAGGGATACTCTCCATGTCAGATCACTCTCCGCGGCAGCATCTTTCAGCCCATCTGCCCACCAATAATAGTCACACTTTTCTGTGATTCTCCGTGGGCACATGTAAAATTGTCTCCCGTAGCTACTAAGCTGATGCGAAGTGAGAAGGGAACATTGAAGTCCACAGTAGCAGTGCAATCCTTTGAAGGTACAAAAAAATCCTCGAGCTCGTCCTTCCTGAAGGCTTAAAAACACATACTTAGACATAACACTAGAAAAAAATTAATAACAAAAGTAATTAGTTAAAGTTTTACGTAACTGCCAGGTTTCAGAGAACTCGGTATCTAAACCAACAAATTTGTCACTACAATAAGACAATAGACCTAATAAAAAAAGGGTTCTTAGTTGTCCTTAACCAACGTAATATCAAGCTCGTCAGTGTCACATATGCATATCACCAAAAAAGACCATTGAGAAGAACTTAAAAAACAATAGCACCAATACAATAAACAATGAATGTTTTCAACATATGAAATTCATTAGGTCAAACGTCTCATCCTATACTTCCATACATGCCATCCAAAATAACCCATTAGGTCAAACAACTCATCCTATACATCTAAAACCCAAAAAAGAAAAAAAGAAAAAAAAAATAAAAGGAAAAAAAAAAATATACAACTTGCATAAAAAACAACTGCAGTAAATATCAAATGCATGAGGAACAAAATTATACACGAACTGTATAAAATACCGATACAATAAACAATGAATGTTTTTAACAACCATTATAATTAACAGAAATAAATATTAACATTTATTCAAACTATCACATCCGTAATTCAATCCCTCAACTCTGTCATCTCGCTCGCACCTTCTCCATCTTGAGTGCAGGTATTGAAAACATCATTTTTGGCCTGTGACAAAGACTGTCTAAGCCGATACTCAGATGCCCCAACAGGGATATGTGCATGATCCTAGTCCGCCCTATGAAAGTCAAAGTCCTTGCGGGAAGGATGCCGTTGAATATAATTATGGAGAGTTGCAGCGACAATCACAATCTGCGTCTGTTTGGGAAAGGAGCAAGTTGACATATCCTGAAGTATAACTCATTTTTTCTTCCAAACACAAAAAAATACTCTCAATGACACCGCGTAAGAAGTGTTTTTTGTTGAATATTTCTTTCTTGCATCTAGTGTTATTGCTGGCTAGCTTAAAGTCATGTATGCGGTATCTCGTATCAGAGTTTCAGATAACCTCGCTGCAATAAATATCCAACATCGACCAAAGAATATTTGTCTAGTGTGAATAGAATGTTTAGTGTTGAAGTAAAAAAAAAGCGACCAGCGTAGTCTCATGCAAACCTGTGGGTGGATGTGAGAAGTTGTATTTTCTACTCCGTATTGTAGATTTAAAAATTCAATCGTCAAGTGCACAACCCTCCCAACCGACTATGATAAAAGTGAAACAAATGTTGTAGTCGCATACAACCATGACAATCTGTGTCAGTGACCCATAACAGCCGATAAATGCGATATTCTCATTGCTTGGAACACATGCATCAAAGTGAGTTCTAATGATTACTCCAGCACAGTTGTAAAAATATAACGAAGGGCTCCGTAATTACTATATTTAGATGAAAATTGAATATACAAAATAGAAGGAATTAACTGAAAGTGTGACATATACTGCAGATCGTGTGAAATCTATATGGATGTCTGTTTGAATGTAAGATCTATTGACTTTATGAATTGTGATGAAAAACTGACAAGTGTATTCAACCCTACTGAGAAGTATCTGCAAATTATCTCAGAAGTGTGTTGAAATCGTTCCATAGCTCCTCATATTAACTCATTCTGCGAATATATGTAGAGGGTTATTGCTAACAACTCTCTTGAAGTCGTTTTAGAAGAGCCACGAAGTCCAAGATTTCTGTGAATTTACTTCAACAGATCAGTGAATACCGTCTGTGTCATGCGAAACATATTGCTAAATCTCGTTTAATGACCCGCAAGAAGCTCCCTAATCCATTTGTTTCCAATATAAGAGGATGTCATACAAGCGGAACGTTATATGTACGAGTTAAAATACTCGTACAACCAACACATCGCACCTACAACTCTCCTTCTGTATCTTTCTCTATTAGCATCTATGTATTTCGATGTCGAAGTAGCTAACACATAAACATCAATAAATTAACTACAATCATATAATGTTATGAATAAAACCGACATCAAAATAACATTACTAAAAGTAAAATAGAAAACAAAACAAAACAAAAAAAACTCGGGTATAGTGACATCTCCAAAGCAATATAAATGTTAAAAACAGCATCAAAAACCATAAGCATCTAGTGAAAAATGTCAAAAACAACATGTTCAAAGTACATAAACAAATAACAAATATGAAATGTTCACACAAGAATATAGTAAAAAAAGTGTCCCTCAAGCGTCACTATTTCCATGAAAATAACATAAGTAATCCACTCTACGATCAACGACCACATCATGAACCTTCAAGCAACTTTATAGAGAACAAATACAACAAGTTCTCGTAAATTTCTGGAGTTGCCTCCAGAATTCATATACCTGCTGCACAGATATTGCATGTGGTTGGTAAGGGTTATAGGTGCATGAAGCCACCAACTGTGATATTTGACTTCTAATGAAAGCAGTTCCTTTTTTTCTCTTCTTAACCTAGGGCCGTTTTGATCAGCTAATGCATTCGACCTTATTGTGGTTCGGGCTGAGGCCTTCATTAGAATCCCTTGTTCGATCAGATGCCAAATTTGCAGAGGT